AGGTTGCAAAGGACTCCCCTACCCCTGCTCTTCATCACTGTGCCACCTGTTGGCTCGCCAGGCAGACAACCAATGAGTGAGGCAGGAAGCGACATCTCCATGGCTTCTTCCTCCTCACCACCACAAGGTTTATCTGAGTCAGAAGCTGGTGGAGAAAAAAACAGTGGGTTTCAATGGTGAGCAGAACGAGCAGGTCTGGTGGGGGGGACTCTTATCAGTGGGACCCTGTAGGTGTGTAAAGCCCTGGCAGATGCCTCGCTATGTCCATATCTACACCAGTCATGCCCCTCCCCCCTTCCAAAAAATAATAATTCTAGGAGTTGTAGTTTGTTTTTTATTATTATTATTATTATTATTATTATTATTATTATTATTATTTATACCCCGCCCACCCCAGCCAAGACCAGGCTCAGGGCAGCTAACAACCGATATAAAAACAAATTGATTGAAATACAACTTAAAAACAAGATTAAAATACAACATTAAAACATTAAAATGCAGCCTCATTTCAATGGAAACTCAAATCAAAAACTTTTTTGGGGATGAAAACATCAGGTCTTCACCAAGGCTAACTATCCGGACTGGTCCTACATGGGCCAGAAAAAAGCCAGGGAAGTCCCCAGATAGGAGTTCCATCACAGAAGGAGAAAGGAAAAAAGAAAGAGGGAGAGGGAATCAAATTGATTCCAAGCCAAAGGCCAGGAGGAACAACTCTGTCTTACAGGCCCTGCAGAAAGAAATCAGACCCTGCAGGTCTGAGTATTCCACCAGGCCGGAGCCACTGTTGAAAAGGCCCTGGCTCTGTTTGAGGCTAATCTGACTTCCTTAGGGCCAGGGACCTCTAGGGTGTTGCTATTTATGGACCTTAAGGTCCTCCGGGGGCATACCGGGAGAGGCGGTCCCGTAGGTACGAGGGTCCTAGGCCGTGAAGGGCTTTAAAGGTCAAAACCAGCACCTTAAATCTGACCCTGTACTCCACTGGGAGCCAGTGCAGCTGGAAAAGCACTGGGTGAATATGCTCCCATGGCAGAGACCCCATGAGGAGCCTCGCTGCAGCATTCTGCACCCGCTGGAGTTTCTGGGACAGCTTCAAGGGCAGCCCTGCGTAGAGCGAATTACAGTAGTCAAGCCTGGAGGTGACCATTGCATGAATCACTGGGGCCAGGTTCCGAAAGATTGTTGTATCGCAGGGAGTTGAGCTAGATGACATTTGGCCCCTTCCAACTCTTCAGATGTATGAGATCCCTCTTCCCCTCCCAGAGCAGTTTAATAGCCAACACTTCTTCCCAGGGAACTCTGGGAATTGTAGCTCTGTGTAAGGAGAGTATTGGGGTCTCGTCTCAGCACCGTTAATGAACCACAGCTCCCTCGATTCTTTGGGAGAAGTCTATTTAAAAGGGTGTCCTAATGAATGCCTTAAATCTATGGTGTGAGTCTGGCCCATGTCATCATTGGTGGAAGTGGTCTTTTGGGTAACACTGCCCCCCCCCCAAGCCAGGAACAAGGGAGCCAGAATCCCTCTGGGCTGCCTCCTCACTCCTCTCCCCCATCTTCACAGTGGGAGTTTGATATCTGAAGGAATTGACGGTCACTCTGGGATTAACTCTCTCTCTCTCTTTTGGGAGAGAGATTCCCCTGGCAAGAGAATCTTTTTAGTGGCTGATAAAACCTTCACTGTGGTGGAGTGGAAACAGGTTCCCTTTGAAGTGGGTCTTGCATTTCCCTCTTGACGCTCAATCCTGTATATTTTAACCGCCAATAAACTGATTTATAAGCACATCTCTTTTTTCCTTCAAAAATAAAAAAGTCTCTCCAGCCACCTTTCAAAGAATTGGCGAGAGGGAGGGGAATATTGCCAGCGCAAATGTCAGGAATGTATTTTGAATCTTCTTGCGGGAAGGAAGACCGGTCCCTTGAAAGGATATTAGCCATGGCAAGCCCATGAAACCTCCATGATTAGTGGCAGTCAAACAAATAAAGGAGCCGGATGTGTCCCAAAGGACTCTTGCATCATAGCATATCTGCCTCGGTTTCCTGGAGTTATCCAGCTAGCTTCTGCTGGAGAAACAATCCTTGGTTTCGTGGTTCCTTGTCCTTAATCAACAAGGTGAAAATCCTAACAGTATTAAATCCAGTTATCGTAATGGCACAAAATGATAAGAAAATCGCCTGAAAAGTTTCCAATGGGTGTAATGAATCTAAGGAAGGGCTGTAGCTCAGTGGTAGAACATCTGCTTTGAATGCAGAAGGTCCCAGGTTCAGTTCCTGGTATCTTCAGGTAGAGCTGGGAGAGAACCCCTGTCTGAAATGCTGAAATGCTGCATTAAAAGGGATTAGAGTTATGCTGAAGTTTGCTAGGGACAGTAAAGGAAAGTGATGGTCTAGTTCAGGGATTTTGGCTCCAGATGTTGTCAGACCTCGGCTCCCATCAGTCCCAGCTGCCAGCATGGCCAACTGTCAGGGTGATGGGAGAGTTAGACTACAACAACATCCAGATGGCCACAGGTCGCCCATCCCTGCATTAAAAGAAGGCATGGTTTTGAGGGAGATCGGTAGGGGCAGTAAAGCCAAATGACCATCTAGTTCAGTGATGGAGAACCTGCAGCCCTTCAGTTGTTGCTGGACTCCCAACACCCATCAGACTTCATGGCAAGTGGTCAAGGGTGATGGGATTTGTAGTCCAACAACAGCTTGAGGACCACTGGTTCTCCATACCTGAACTAGACCATAGCTTACCTTTATTGCCCCAAGCTACCTCCATCACAACTCTGACCATCACTTACCTTTACTGCCCCTAGATACCTTCATAACAGCTGAAAGGCACCATGTTCCCCATTCTCACCATAGGCTTAGGGTCCCTGGGGTAAGCAAGCTCTCTCTTTTGCTTGTCCCTAACCTGCTGAGAAGGGACGTGGGTGGCGCTGTGGGTTAAACCACAGAGCCTAGGACTTGCCGATCAGAAGGTCGGCCACGACGGGGTGAGCTCCCATTGCTTGGTCCCTGCTCCTGCCAACCTAGCAGTTCGAAAGCACGTCCAAGTGCAAGTAGATAAATAGGTATTGCTCCGGCGGGAAGGTAAACGGCGTTTCCGTGCGCTGCTCTGGTTCTCCAGAAGCGGCTTAGTCATGCTGGCCACATGACCCAGAAGCTGTACACCGGCTCCCTCGGCCAGTAAAGTGAGATGAGTGCCGCAACCCCAGAGTTGGTCACGACTGGACCTAATGGTCAGGGGTCCCTTTACCTTTTTTATGGGGACTAGAATCTTGCTTCGTTTTTAAAGAAGGGGCCATAACTCGGTGGTAGAGCATCTGCTTTCTATGCCGAATTCCCTAGTCTTTTGCAGCATCTCTAGGTAGGGCTGGGAGGGATTCCCTGTCTGAAACCCTAGGGAGTAGCTGCCGATCAGTGTAGACAGTGCTGAGCCCGATGGACACTGTATAAAGCAGGTTCCTATGTTCTATGGATGAGGAAGTGACATATCCCAGTGGAAGAGCATCTTCTTTGCCTCCATGAGGTCCTAGGTTGTAGCAGACCCAACATCTCATTTAGAAAGGGGTGGATCAATGTGAGACTACCAAAGGAAGAGCTACCGGTAACTTTCCCTGCTTGGTCTTCTCAACATGCCCAGAGTCGTCAACCAAACCTTTACTAGAAACACACAGATCAGGCTCCCCAACTCAACTTCTCCACCGCCCCTTCAGCTTTTAGGGGTTTTGTGTTGTTATTCTATTCCACCTCCCCCCTCTCCTGTTGCTGTGAAATTCAATCAGGTCTCCCAGACCTCTAGGCCCTGGAGAACTCAGCAGCTGCATTCTCAACTGTCTCAAAAGCTTAGCCCCATCCCCTTCTCAAACCAGAATCAGCCCTGAGAGTTTTTGGATTCAATTGAAAATGAGTTTTTTTAAAAATAAAAAATAAAATAAAAAAACCAGACACAGATTGCAGCTGGAATACATATGGTACAATTTGATTGGCTCAGATAATTGCGCACCAGGATTTATGAGGAGGGGAAATGGATGGGGAGAGAATGTGGAGGGGGTTTTTAGCCACGATTCCTGCATTTCAGAGGGTTGGACTAGATGTTCTTTGTAAGGTTCCTTCCAACTCTATGATTCTAAGTTGGCTAGCTTTTAACAGTGGTGTCGTGCACAAAGGAAGCACAGATTGCCAGAAAATAATTCAGAAGGGCAGAAATGGCCCTGGTAGGCCAGAGTCGGCTCTGCTAATCCAATAGGATTTCCGGGGGCTGATGGTAAGACAGTGGTCGGCCACTGGCAGACGGGGGCCAAAGGAGGGCCTTCCTGTTTGCTGGCCTGCCCTGTCCTGACACCTAGTGACCATTTTTTGTTTTGCATGGAGCCTGTGCAAGAATAGGCTTTTAGAAAAGATGGTTCTGAAGGGTTGGAAGATGGTTTGCCATCAGGGCCAGATTTAGGTTTGATGAGGCCCTAAGCTACTGAAGGTAATGGGGCCCTTTATATGCCCAGCTGTCCTTTGTCAACAACAAATTGTCACTGTTTTTTGTGTTGAATATATGGAGCTAAAGCCATTTGCGCATAACAAAATATGTATTTTATCGAAGTAATTGTTGAACTGAAATACAATTAAGTATATTAATAGTGAAATAATTATTAAGCTCTAACTTAAAATGATTTTTATTCATAACAAACTTAATAATGCAAACACATTGAAATTTGGCAATAACAAAAGTTCCTTTAGAAACACAATTTACAAAGACTCATAATGGGGGGGGCAAGAGAGTGGGCCCCTAAGCTATAGCTTGTTTAGCTTATACGTAAATCCGGCACTGGTTGCAGCAGGTGGTGATGGTGCCAGGGCGTCAGATCATTCGTGGCACTTGCTCCCTAGACAATGACAATGCGGAGAGTCCATAGCTCAGGGGACGGAGACCCTTCTTTGCATGCAGAAGGTCTCGGGTTCAACCCCTTGGCATGTGTCTTCCCCCATAACTTCCTGCCTTCCTCTCTCCCTTCTCCCAGGTGTGGTTCAGCAACCGGCGGGCACGGTGGCGCAAGCAGGCCGGGGCCAATCAGCTGGCAGCATTCAATCACCTGTTGCCGGGGGGCTTCCCTCCGACTGGGATGCCTACTTTGCCTCCGTACCAGCTGCCAGATTCAACTTACCCAACCACCACCCTTTCCCAAGGTGGGTGCTGAGGGCTTGGGTGGGAAAGTGGGTTGTTTTGATGGGTGGGTTGTGTCGGAACCTGCCTTCAACCGAGCGACTCCTCCAGAATCGCCTCCAATCTCTCCTCCCACGATAATTAATGACCTGAGCCTCTGATAAGGCTCCAAGCATGTTCCCATTACGCAGAGTATCCAGCACAGGGAAGGACGAGAAATATGAGCTACATGCTAAGAGTTTTATTACTAAGCTACGCAGACAGAAATAAACATCCTCTCTCTGTGAAAGCAGAGAGAAACTGAACCACAAAGGAACAGGAAACCAGTAAACATCACATCCGTCTCCTGTCTTCTGTGAGACTTCCAACAGCCTGGAATGTCTGGAATGCAAAACAGAGTCTTTTGACCCCAAAGCACTGCACAGTGGCAACACACAGAAACCAACAGGTTGATGGATGGCGTTTATATCAAACCTCAAGGTGGCAGGCGTGGTCCCACCCATCCCTCCTTGTTTAATCCTCTTAGCAATCCTCTGAGGGGGCTTAGGCCGAGAGGCAGGGACTGGCCCAGAATCACCCAGTGAGATTCACGACAGAACATGGGGATTTGAACTCTGGTTCTCCCAGTTCCTAGTCTGACTGGCACAGAGTGGGCAGAGCCAGGGATTGGCTGAGCCAGAGCGAATGATAGCTGAGATCTTCTAGGGGCAACACTGAGACTCAGGGCTTACCCACAATTCCTCTATTCCCACTGCTTTCCCCTGGGGAAAACCACTCGGAGCAACCAGCAATTTGGGTTGTCTCCTGCTCTGTAGACTGGCAGCTGCAGGTTCGATCCCCGCCATCTCCTGGTAAAAATCTCTTCCAGCCTTTACCCTGGCAAATCCGCAGTTTCTGTTCACACCTCCACGGGGCAAGGAGGAAGGAGTTCTTCTTGCATTGCCAAAGGCTCTCGGTGGCTCTGTTTCTTAACAGCCCTAGTGAATTCCTCTGCAGCTTGTATTTCTTGCTTCACAGCCCAAACAATCAAAATCCTACCATTTATTAATTTCTAGGCTTTAGAGGGGGTCCCACCCAAATCTATAACATGCCCCCCCTTCACTTTAGCAACAGGGACAGCTTTCCACAGCTGGGCATGAGAAAATAACAGGAGGTTACTAACAGCGTTCAGATCAGTACATCTAAGCAAGATAGTTTGCTTCGGTTTAGTGCTAAATTGGTTTTCCCTGAGAAAGGAGTGGGGCAAGGGAGAAAGCGCGTAGACTCATCCCTAGAAAGCATGGGTCAAGCAGAAAACTGGATAGCTCAGTTGATTAGAGTGTGCTGCTAATAATGCCGAGGTTGCAGGTTTGATTCCCATAAGGGACAGGTCATATTCCTGCACTGGAGGGGGGTCAGACTGGATGATCCTCAGGGTCCCTTCCAACTCGATGAATCCATGATTCAAGTGGAAGAGGAGGAGGGGGAAGGTGACAGGCAGGGCCACCCGCTGGATGAGTTGTAAGAAAGAATTTAGGGCAATGCCCCATTCACCCCAATGGACCAGACCTCCACTGAAACAGGTGGTGGGAACATGATTTGGGCATCAGGTCAAGATGGCGCCTCCATCCTGCCAGCCTTTCCCCAAAGGAACACAGTGATTGTTAGGTGATGACAGCCACTGCTTCTAACCCGATGCTTCGTTTCCCCACAGATGGGGGCAGCACTGTGCACAGACCCCAGCCTCTCCCACCATCCACCATGCACCAGGGAGGGTTGGCTGCCGCTGCCGCAGACTCCAGCTCCGCCTACGGGACCCGACACGGCTTCTCCACCTACTCCGACAGCTTCATGAACCCCGCAGCTCCTGCCAATCACATGAACCCTGTCAGCAATGGCCTCTCTCCCCAGGTAGGCTGCTCACCTGTGTTTTGCCATCGTCTCCGGCCTAAACTGTAGGCAGTGCGTGAGGAAACTGGGAGAACACATGGCCCCCAATAAGAGCTCCAGTTCCCACGTGTCCTTAGTTGAGCGCCGCAGCGTTTTGTTCATTTGCTTATTGTTGAAAGCCGGGATAGGCAGCCTGCAGCCCTCCAGAAGGCGTTGGACGACAGCTCCCATCAACCCTACGCTGGCTGATGGAAGTTGTAGTCCAACAATACTTCGAAAGCTGCAGGTTCCCCATTGCTTATTTCCCCCCACTCTTCCCCAGAAGACTCCCAGAGTTGCTTACCAATGATTCCCTTTCCTCAAGCTTACAATCAGGGATTGGAAGGGTGGAGGAAAGAAGCAAACCCGGTTACTAGTTCTTAGGCAGTTAAACAATTCTACAGGTCTGCAGCTGAGGCTAAACCAGCGGCGTAGCGTGGGTTGTCAGCACCCGGGGCAAGGCAAGTAATTTTCGCCCCCTAACCCCTGGATTTGCGCCCCCTAACCTGTGGATTTGCCCTAACCCCAGATGTTGCGCCCGGTGCGCCCGGCACCCCCTGCACCCCCCACGCTACGCCACTGGGCTAAACTGAGGCATTGCCAGGTCACCCAGTCAAAGATGGAAACAGAGCCCTTCAAGGAAGGAAGTGCCACCACATATTTGAGGACATCCCACGATGTCTGCTTAGCCCCGATTCTGTTGCAATGCAGACACTGAGTAAAGGCCCTCTTGCGCCTTCAGGACTTTGGTTTGCTAGCACAGTTGGTTTTAGGATTTGCTGTTGATCTACAGATGTAACGGTCAGCCTTGTTTTTTGTGATTTGTCATGAAGGTTTTTTCCTTAAGCTGCTTTGAGATGTGACTTTACAGACAAATGAACCAGTTAAACAATTCTACAGGTCTGCAGCTGAGGCTAAACCAGCGGCGTAGCGTGGGTTGTCACCAGTGATTGTATTTGAGAGCATCTGTTTGAAAACCATGAATGAATAGTTCCGGGTATTCTCTGCTAACTGCAATAGTGGAAGACGAATCCTTGATACCAACATGCTTTGTCCATGCATCTTCCTATTGCAATATGTTATTAGACAAATCTGCATATTTATTTATGGATACAGCAGGGAACCTTTTGTCTCCCAGACATTGTTCGACTGCAATTCGCATCAGCTCCACCCAGCATGGCCAATCGTCAGGGATGATGGGAGTTGTAGTCCAGCGATATCTGGAGGGGCACAGGAGGAGCCCCATTCTTGTATTAGAAGTCACGAGTTGTGATGGAAGTAGCCAGGGGCAGTAAAGTTGGAAAGGACCACCAAACGTCATCTGGTCCAATCCACTGCGAGTGCAAGAATCACAGCTGAAGAATCCCTGGAAAGCACTGTGAAGGGAATTCTGAGCCATCCCAATTAATTGACAGAAAGAACACACCTTCTATTTTCTTTGGGCCCAAACAAGTTCAAGGTCTATCAGTAATGCTGGATCCTTGCCCGGCCTGAAACCCTGGAGAGCCGTTGCTGCTGGTCAGTGTAGACAATACTGAGCAAGACAGACCAAATAAGCAGCTTCCTTGTTCTGTTGTTTAGTCGTTTAGTCGTGTCCGACTCTTTGTGACCCTATGGACCAGAGCACGCCAGGCACTCCTGTCTTCCACTGCCTCCCGCAGTTTGGTCAGACTCATGTTTGTAGCTTCGAGAACACTGTCCAACCATCCCGTCCTCTGTCGCCCCTTCTCCTTGTGCCCTCCATCTTTCCCAACATCAGGGTCTTTTCCAGGGAGTCTTCTCTTCTCATGAGGTGGCCAAAGTATTGGAGCCTCAGCTTCAGGATCTGTCCTTCCAGTGAGCACTCAGGGCTGATTTCCTCCAGAATGGATCGGTTTGATCTTCTTGCAGTCCATGGAACTCTCAAGAGTCTCCTCCAGCACCAGAATTCAAAAGCATCAATTCTTTGGCGATCAGCCTTCTTTATGGTCCAGCTCTCACTTCCATACATCACTACAGCTTCCTAACACGTGTTAAATGTATCCCCCAAGTGACCGCATTACAAATAGTACAGAATAGGTCTTTGGCGAAGTTAACCCACGGTCCTTAAGGGTGTTACATCACTAAAGGAGAGCCTGAGTGGCAGAGGGTGATTGCGTCAGGCCTTTTTTTGACTTGGTTGGCTTCTGTCTCATTTCCTCTCCTCCCCTCCCTTTTTCTTCAGTGTCTGTTTAAGTGTAATAAGCATTTAAATGAAGTATTGCCTGACCAGGGATGGAAAGAAGAGGAGGAGGAGGAGGAGGGAGAGATTTGGGAAGGAGGGGAGAGAAGTAGAAGGGGGTGTTAAATAGCAAAGAATTAGGGTGGGGGGGGAGGGAGAAGATCAGATGCAAATCACTAGTAGAAAGGAAATTATGTGCAATTACCCAGCAAAACTGGGCAGCCTCTGCCCACCCCTGCCAACAAGATCTCATTAATAAGCAGAAAATAAGATTGAAATGGTGTGTAAAAGAGGTGGAAAAATGAATTTGAATGCTGCATTTGTCCACAATTACCCCCTCGTTCACACATATTTTATTGCAATTTTTTTTATTATTATTCTTAATCTTTCCATCCCTCAAAGCAGATTGGGAACATCCTGGCATTATGGTTGCAGAGGGAGAGGCATTACGGATTTCCCTTTTTCTTTCCCTTCTGCCCCCCTGGAAGAGACTCTGCCCGCTCTCAAATTTGCAAAGGCCGGGCTGGCGGGGATCAGAATTCATTGCTTCGGCTTATCGCCGTGTAGGAACAAGTTCTTTTCCGGGGGGAAATGCCCGACCTTCAATTGCGTGGCGAGACGCCCTGCAATGCGTCTCTTTCTCTTTTTCCCTCTGTAGGCGGGAACGCAGGAAGCTGCCTTAGGCAGAGACAGGACATTTGTCCACCTAGCTTATTGGTGCCTGCACTGACTGGCAGTGGCTCTGAAGGATTCCAGAGCGGATCTCCCCACCCCACCCCACTGGGGGCTGAACATCATAAGAAAAGCCTGCTGGATCAGGCCAATGACCCACCTAGTCCAGCATCACCTTCTCATGGGAGAATTTGGAGGCAGAGAGTAATAATAATAATAATAATAATAATAATAATAATAATAATAATAATAATTTTCTAACGGTTTTGGGAGTCAGACGGACTCCCAGAATGGATTAAGTTAGAGAACCAAGATTAAGTTAGAGAACCAAGATTAAGTTAGAGAACCAAGGTACCGCTGTATTGTGGAAGGGCACGTGGGTGTGTGGAGTAGCCCATAATAATAATAATAATAATAATAATAATAATAATAATAATAATATAAGTGGTTTCCCCAACCACTCTGGGCAGCTTCCCACAAAAATTAAAAATACATCAAAATGTCACACATTAAAAACTTCCCTGACCAAGGCTGCCTTCAGATGTTTTCTAAATGTCAGGTAGTTATTTATCTCTTTGACATCTGATGGGAGGGCGTTCCACAGGGCGGGTGCCACTACCGAGAAGGCCCTCTGCCTGGTTCCCTGTAGCTTTGCTTCTCGCAATGAGGGAACCGCCAGAAGGCCCTTGAAGCTGGACCTCAGCGTCCGGGCAGAATGATGGGGGTGGAGACGCTCCTTCAGGTATACTGGGCTGAGGCCATTTAGGGCTTTAAAGGTCAACACCAACACTTTGAATTGTGCTCGGAAACGTACTGGGAGCCAATGTAGGTCTTTCAAGACCGGTGTTATGTGGTCTCAGCGGCCGCTCCCAGTCACCAGTTTAGCAGCCGCATTCTGGATTAGTTGTAGTTTCCGGGTCACCTTCAAAGGTAGCCCCACATAGAGTGCATTGCAGTAGTCCGAGCGGGAGATAACTAGAGCATGCACCACTCTGGCAAGACAGTCCGTGGGCAGGGAGGGTCTCAGCCTGTGTACCAGATGGAGCTGGTAGACAGCTGCCCTGGACACAGAATTGACCTGCACCTCCATGGACAGCTGTGAGTTAGGTTGGTAACATCAACATGCGATGGAGGGATAACATCAAGGAGCATTTCTCACCCCCCAAATGATCAAATTGGCACAGTTATTTTTACACTCCCATTGAGGAGGCACATTCCTTTCGGAAGTTATCTGGGAACATAAGAGCCTGCTGGATCAGACCCTTGGCCCATCTAGCCCATCATCCTGTTCTCAAAGTGGCAACCAGATGTCCCAATGGGCAGAATCTGAGCATAAGAACTTTTGGTTGCCAGCAGCTGGTATTCGGAAGCATCAGTGCCTCCTCTTGTGAAGGGAGAACAAGGTTGTCATGTTTAGGAGCCATTGATAGCCCTCCCTTCCTCCACGAAGTCATCGGATCCTCTTTAAAGCCACTCCTGTGGCAGGGAGTTCCATAGTTTAACCATGTTCCGCACGAAGGGCTTTCTTTGATCTGCCCTGAATCTTCCAACATTCAGCTGCACTGGATTCCCACAATTTCCAGTTGTTACGAAAGACGGAGAAAAACTTTTCTCCATCTGTTTCCTCCGTGCCATTTATCATTTCGTAAACTTCTGTCACCTTGCCTTTTAGTATTAATAATAATAATAATAATAATAATAATAATAATAATAATAATAATAAATTTTATTTATACCCTGCCCTGCCCAGCCAAGACCGGGCTCAAGGTGGCTAACACCAAATATAAAAGCAATTGATTGAAATACAGCTTAAAAAACAAGATTAAAATACAACATAAAAACATTAAAATGCAGCCTCATTTCAGTGGAAACTCAAATAAAAAACTTTTGGGGGGATGAAAGCGTCAAGTCTTCACCAAGGCTAACTATCCAGACTGGTCTTACATGGGCCGGAAAAAAGCCAGGGAAGTCCCCAAATAGGAGTTCCAACACAGAAGAAACTAAAAAGTCCCAAATGCTACAACTTGTCTTCCTAGGGGAGTCTCTCCTGGAACCTGAGCCTCCAAAGCAGCCACCCCCTCTTGCCTCCTGGCTCCCCCTGCCTTCCTTT